TTCGTCTTTGTGCTTGAAGCTTCTTCGTCTCTTTGAAATTGAATTTTCTCGGACCCAAACAAGACACAGGAGAGGTGGAGAGGGAATAGAGATTTAGGTTAGAGGGCAATTTCGTCCTTTATTACAGTTAATAGGGGTATTTTAAAAAATAGACATATGAGAGAGATATTTAATTAAAGGTATGGTTGCAAATGCCCCTTATCGTTTAGCTCGTAATAAAATGAAAAAAAAACAACAAAAACGATATACTACATCATTCAAATTTATAAAAAAAATGAATAGTAAAAACTAAATTGAGCTTTTTTTTCTCCCAAAACACCGTTCCATTTTCCTTCTTGTTCATCAATCAGAAATCAAGACAAACCGGGCACTACGACCTGAAAAAATAATCATCCAATAGTTTAGGATACGTCGATCACAAACTAGTTATCATAAAGGGGAAAAAAAGAAAAAAAAAATAGTAAGATTCTAAATCATATTAAATAGAAACAAAATGAGATAAATGGTTTTCCATAAAATTGACAAATAACAATAGAAAAAACTTTTAAAAGGAAAAAGATCTTTAAAAATATATACAATTTTCAAATTTTGAATGTTGACTCAAATTGAAACCCTAATAATAATAAAAAAATATGACTAAAATTTATTAACTGGTTTTGGTATTGAACCAGATCACATGTTTTGGTGGATGTCGTCGACCGGTTTTAGTGGCTTAACTCAAATCTGGTTTTAAACTCAACTCGGGTTCAACTATGTAAACGATTTCCTAACTCTTATTTTTCCCCAATCCTTTCGATTTTCTCTTACAACAATAGCGAAGTCAAAGAAAAATTTTGCACCAATCAGAGCATGGGTCATAGAGAACAAACTTGTAACCGCCAAAACCATTTTAAGATTTTTTGTTCAGTCAAGCTCCTTTGAAAAGTAAGTCCATGGATAATTTAGAGTAGACTTGACTTTTACTGATTATGAACTAAGGAAGTGAAGATGCAGATTCTGGATCAGCACGGTGTGCGCAGAACAGCTCGCTGTTTGGATCAGGAAGCTGCATCAGATCACATCAGACGCCTGAGTTGCTGACATGGAAGCGGGAGCTGACGTGGCAGAGCAGGAGTAGATGTGAACACATCAGACGCGAAGTTGCTGACATGGAAGCAGGAAGCTGACGTGGCAGAACATGAGCGGCTGTGGTGACAAGCCAAGGAAGATTGCTGACTTGGCACAGGGAGTTGCGCGTGGAGATATGGAGAATATTCTTCTCGGCAACTAAGGAAGGGAAGAGCTTGACAAGCAAGTTATTCCCATAACCGAAGATCTGGGCGTTGAGATATGGAAGATATCCTCCACGACAGATAAGGACGGGAAATACTTGGCGAGCAAGAAATTCCCAGGATCGTGATACTCCGAGATATGCCTGCTAGGGTTTCTCGAGTCTTGATATATATACTCTAGGGTTAGCCACGAAATAGGTTAGCACTCTAGACTATTGATATATCGTTGTATACTTCGAAGCCGCAAAAAGAGCTTAGAAGGTGAGTGTGTGGTTCTATCTGATCTGAACGGTAGGGTTACAGAGTGCAGAGAGAATTTGCTTAGAGGTTTATTCTTGTCGAGGTCAACTGTATTCGGGTAGAATAGGTTGAGTAATAACCGGGATAAAGTTAGTCTTGTTGTAAAGAAACTTGTATCCAAAGAATAAATAGAAAAGCGTTTGCTTGGCGCGTTCCAAGCGGAAACAGTGGGCTGTGTATCGTCTGTACCATTCACAGGAAGTCGTGTGAAACTAGAACCTCTATGAACCCAAAGTGACTAAACATAAAGAAGATCGAAGAAAGTAAGTGATGGATAACTACAAAAAGAAAGAAGATATAATGGTTTGAAGCCATTGTTATTGCTATCTCTTTTGTTTGATTTTTTTCCTACTATACACTCTTGTTTCTCCTACGATCCACCATTACTGCTACGCCAAAGGAATTCTCTTCTTAAATTAAAAGATGTGATTTTGATTTTGCGGTATGACCCACCTGAGATGGTAAAATACCAAACCGAGAGAAGTCTTGGAACAAACAAATTATTGCCCCATGCACATAGTACCAATTCAATAATTTAGATAATGTGGATGCTCCTAGATTTGGGTTTACTCGTGATTGGTTAGCCTAGATCACGTTTACTCTGACTTTGATGAGTGAAACAACACCTAGTTTCGGTGTTTCAATGTACTGAGCTTTATTGGTAACATATTACAGATAGTTAAGAAGTATATACTGTATTAATTAACATTTATTGAGAAAGACATAAACTCCAAAAGTTTCTCATCATGCTCTTCTTATACCAAGATCGAGCTGAAAAAAGAACTAAGGGGGGTGTATTGAAGAAAGAATTTGGAGTGATTTGAGTTTTAATGAGTTTTGAGATGATTTTGGTGAATTTTGGTGAATTAGGGAATTTGATATCAAAACTCTCCCAAATCCCACCTAAAACCATGGGATTTGGATACTTGAATTTTTAACTAAGATGTTCTCTGAAATCCCACCAAAAATTACTCAAGTCATTTCAAATCCACAACTTAAAATGTTTCCAATAACAGTGGATTTGATTGTAGATTTTAAAATCACTAATCCAATAACACTTGATTTTAAAAAGACTTTTAAAATTCATGTTTGAATAACATAGGATTTATCTTTTTAATACAAATCATTTCAAATCCTTTATTGAATACACCTCCCTAAGTATAATATTGACATTCTTCTTGTGAGATATAGTCTTTTGACAATTATCATTATTTCCGATTCCATAACAATGCCTAAAATCTCCATCATCTCCAAAGTCCTTTAAGCTGAATCTTTCTTATTTCCTTTTTTTCTACATCATAGTAGCTAGAGAATGTAAAAAGCTCCAAGCCCACGTGGCAAAAACTTTGGGGCAATATATAACAATTTCCCCCATCTTGTTGGTAGCCATGAAAAGATATTGGAACGTCTTCTGTAGAATTCCAGCAAAATCTCGGTAACGGACTTGTATTCCTCGACCATTGATGTTCCTTGACATCTCGTAATATCCATAAATCAAAGACAAGATATGTATATATCATGCCAATGGAAAATATTAACATTGGATAATTTTCCTTGGTAGTTTATCAAAGTTTAAGTAGTACGTACCCCCAACTTATGTCCAATAAAGGTAGTTTGATAAAACTTAGCCTCTCTGATCTAACATCAAAACACACTATTAGTTTATTCTTATTTGGTGTTGGAGTCCAATCGCCATAATACACAAACTCATTGATGCATATTCCTTTTGTCAAAGGGCGATAATTTTTATATAATGCCTTCAATTTTTCTCCATGAAGGTATTTTATTACCTCCAAGTGTTAAAACCATGTGCTCTTGATCATTTTCAAAAGTTGAAACCCCTTTTACGCATTGTTTTGTATTGATGATCAACCGGATCGTACCCCAAGTATTTGTAAGCGGAATTCCAATTAGTACCCCTGATTGTCGATTTCCGGTAAGGTTATGACTTGTCTCGTGCCAGGGTTACATATCATGAACAATGTATTTTATTTCTATACTATAAATATGCCCTTCGTTACATTTGTTTTATTTGGGAAAAAACTTATTGGAATGACCAATAAATTTTTGGATATATCTTCATTGTCAAGGCTTTGCTTATTATCTCGTACTCATAACATTTTCGATTGCCAATCCCTGTGTCTACATAAAAATTTCTTAATTTGGAAGTGCTTTATTTTTTCTGTGTTATTCAGGGAGACGAATTTGACTCTACATCTCTAAAGAAGATTTCATGAATTTCCAGTTTATATAGATTGATTTTAATTACTGAGTCTGTTTATACTCTTTGCTTGATTTCAGTTATCATATTTGAGTAGATTCATAATAGAATTTTAAAGGAAATCAATGAATTGCAAAGATTATAATTGATAGATTAGGAAATTATATACCCTAAGAGTTCTTCATAGTTAATTTTCCTTGGTACGATTAACTCGTACAATGGATTAGCAAATCCAACACTTTAATCCACTCACACTCATCCATCTCTCCTAATCGAAAAGAGATATACTTATTAGGCTTCATTAAACCAAAAAAAAATCAAGAAAACAAATCTTCTAGAGTAGCTAACTAATGTACTAAAAGTTTTAGATTAATTGTTCGAAAAAACATAGATGAACAAAAACACCCCTAACCAACAGAAAGCACTACTTCACGTAAAATCACATCATTTCATGGAAAACAAAATCCTATACGGATCGAGAGCAATAGTTGAGTAATAATCCACGACTTTCAACTTTCAATTTTTCAATCATCTATAATCATTATTGATATAAGAATCCAATATTTTTTGAAAGGTACTCAAATGTTGATGAGGAGCCCAAATTAAAAATCTTTCTCGCCTTTACGCGCAAAGCGTTTTAGGACTCTTGTTACTATGGAGAATTGGGTGAAATCAAATAGCAATCATTGGGATCTAAGAGATTATCCAATATATCAAATGCACCCACATCCTCTTTTTTTATTCTCTGTCAAAGTCCACTATCATACTCTTAAAGGAAGAAACAATGAATGGTGCACCGGCTATAACCTACCTTGCCCATGTCAAGCCTTACAAGAGCAGCTGTCGTGTCCAAGTGAAAGTCCTCCATACATGGAAACAATACACTGCACAATGAGGAGAAACCTTTGAGATGGTTTTGGCTAACCAAAAGGTAAACTAAAGTATATTATAATTGACATTCTATAATAACAAATATGCCCTATACTAACTGATTTCTATTGCATATATTTGTAGGGCACCAAAATACATGCAACATCTGAAGTTTCAGATGATGTGTACAATAGAAACTTCAGATGTAGCATGTATTTTAGTGCCCTACAAATATATGCAATAGAAATCAGTTAGTATAGGACATATTTTTTATTATAGAATGTCAATTACAATATACTTTATATTGCATATATTTTGGTCAGCCAAAACCATCTCAAAGGTCTCTCCTGATTGTGCAATATATTGCTTCCATGTATGGAGGACTTTCACCTGGACACGACAGTTGCACTTGTAAAGCTTGACATCGGCAAGGTAGGTTATAGCATGTGCACCATTCAAAACTTGTTACAGAGTTACCACGGTTACTTGCCTTTCTTCTTACCCCCTCCTTTCTTCTTTCCTTTATTCTTCTTCTTGCCTCCTCCTTCCCTGTTCTCGCTCTTACTGTGTTTCTTCATCTTGAAATATGTGTCATTAGTTCTTGAAGAACCAGAATGTAGCATATGCCTAACATCAAGAACACCGCCCTTGAAATGCCCTACAGTTGACTTCAAGACTCTCTCTTCTAGCGTACGCTTCCTCTCTGCGGGTTTCCTCGTACTTCCACTCCCAAATTGTCCTCCAAATCTGCCAAGAATCATATTCTACAAAACATCCGATAACAGGTGAAAATCACCTGTTCCAACATTTTCTCTTCTCTTTCTTTCTGTTTCTTCATCTGTACTCGCGCTACACTCAGCGGTAACCCATGATTCTTTTGAGGCTGCAATCGCAACAAATGAAAACTCAAGTCTTAGCTCAGAACAACAAATAAAAAAGGTTTCGAATACAGCCAAAGTTTCAAAGTATGTACAATCTTTACCTTTCCACCGAGTGCAGTCACTTTCTTGTTCTCCAATGCTTTCTTATCTTTCCATGTCATATGTGAAGAACCTTGAAACAACAAACAAGTTCAGCTGAAGTGTACATAAACTTGCATTATCACAATACATGGCGATCAAAGAGAGAGAGAAAATAGTGTTACCAAAGAGCTCAACATCTTTCATAATCTTCCTAAAGCTCAGGTCTTGATCAATAGACCCCATGCCTTCCTTTTTCTTCTCCATTGGCTTACGATTATACATTTGGTCAGAATTTTCCATTGAGCTTTGCGAATGCACTATCTACAATGAGGAAGCCATTCCATAATCTTGAATTCGTTTAACTTGAAACATCGCAATCGAATTTGGATTCTAGACTCCGACTAATCTAGGGTGTGAACAAAAATAGTGGATCCTATAAAGAACGAAGTCTTACGAAATAATAATACATTTATTTAAAAAGCAAAATCCAAATGCATCATCAAATCTTGTTTTCTATCGAAAAAAAAAAATTGCAAATAAACCTGTGGAAGATGAGTTTGAGCAAAAAGTATCATAACTCGTAAGATCTCAAAAACTAATTAACAACAATTTTTTTTTTCGGTAGAAGTAACATAAGTCATAGAAAACAACAAGCTTCGAAAAAAAACAAGGAACGAATCAAACAATACATTGTTAAGATTAAAAACCTAAAAAAAAAAAGCAACTGCAAAAACTTGATCAGCTAGATTAATGGAGAGTAGATTTTGTGGAACAGTGGAAGAGAACATGGTAGTGGAGGAAACTACAAATATATGGGAAAAAAAAAACAGAGCTAAAAAGCTGCGACTCTAAGATCTACTTTGAACAAATTGGTCTCAAGCTTCATGACAAAACTGTAAAAGCAAAGTGATCAACAAACTAACAAACGTGATTGAAAACAATGGATAACAGAGAAACAGAGAAAACAATTAACATGACTGGGTGAAGAGAATGAACACATTACCTTGAGAACAGGGTGAAGAGGAGAGAAAGAAGCGTTGAGACTCAGATTTAGGGTTAGGCATAAGTATGTGTTTTTTTAATTTAGTTAGGGGTAAAATGGTCTTTTCAATTTTTGATTGGATTCATCTCTAGTCAGATGCACCCGTTGGACTCAGCCCAATGAGTTTTAAAATTTAGCCTAACATTTTTAAAACGCAGTCAGATGGTTCATCCGAATGATGCTCGTTTTTGACACCGGTAGAAACGCACTAAAATGCTTCAGAGTGGACTTCTCTCCCGAAAAACCACCACACTGTATATCCCGAAAGGAATGCTTTCCGACTAGTAATCTATTAAATTTCTTTCCTTAATTTTATGCTCATTCACTAATGTTTGATTTTAAAAAAAAAATCTTGAACTTAAAGTAGTCCTCTTACATTACACACACACTTCATTACAAACTACTTATATGCTTATAGCATGAGAAACTAGTTACCAAACCAAAAGCTTAAAAAGACAGAAAACCAAACTCCAAAAGTCGACCATACTTAACAAAATGGAATAACCAAGTTATGGAAATAAGGCTTCCTTGGGCCACAAGCAGCAGTAGCAGCCACAACATCCAAGTTCCCACCATGTCCATCCACAACATCCATGTTCCAAAACCCGTCCCATATCGCATTGTCTTGGTTCATAGTATTAGTTTCAGGTATATTTACCGGCGTTAATATACCTTGTAACTGCTCCTCTAACGAATTAGGGTTATATCCAAAGGGTTTTGATGAATGTATTATTTGATGAGGAGCATAAAACACATCACCGGCACCGCCGCCATCACTGTTGTTGCTGCTACTACTATCTTCAAGTAATGACATGATCTTTTTCATATCGAGTCGGTCGAACTGACACAACTGTTGTTCTTGTTGCAACTCCATTTCTCTAAGTTGCTTGAACTGTTGCCTCTTTAAGAGACGATTCTTTGTCTTCTCCACATTGTTAGTTGCTGGCTTTGCCTTTTTTCTTGAAATGGGTTCTCCAAGAGAGATGTTGTAGCCAAGGTTTTTGAAATCTTTTGATTTAATTTTGGTTTAGTTAACCTCATGCCTTCCTTTTTTGTTAGCATGGATCCTACTTATTAATAATATCACAACCTTATATATATATGTCGAGTAAACCATGTTTAAATAGGAGATACCAAGACATCGTGTAGAGAAGTAGAATGCAGGACCAATGAATCAAATACATTAGACAAATGATTTTTTATTCTTAAGTTTTGATAACTCATAGAATAGACAAAAGAAAACACTATCTTGTATTTCTTTTTTTTGGTAAATCAAAAACAATATTTGTATATATAACCGAATATTAACTAAACCAAAATTAAATCAAAAGATTTCAAATAAGGATTTTCTAACTATGCACTACTTGAATACTGAACATAAATAAGAATGCCCACCTCTACAAAAAAAACAGTAAATTCAGATGTCAAAAAAAAAAAAAAAATCTGTTAGAAAGCTTGCCATCGGAGGTTCTTCTTCTTGTACTAGGTTCTGATCGTCAGGCGGTTGCTGCACCATTTAAAATAAAACCAAACTTAATTATGAATCAAATACAATATTAGAAGTTTTGATAACTCAAATTTTAGACAAAATAATTATTATGTATTTTTTTGGTAAATTAAAATAATACAATATTAACTAAACCAATCTCAATTAAATCAAGAGACTCGATAATGATTTTTTAAAATATGACGTACAGTACTTGAAAACTGAATGTCTGTACCAGGACCAGCTCTAGACCGAGCAAAGTGAAATTTGGATCTAGGGCCCTATGTATAATACAATAGATCGAACGATTCTTGGATTCACCCATAGGGATGAACCCTTCTTATTCACTCCCTTCTAACTAACCAATCAAAATTACCCATATCATCTAAATAAACTAATTAAAATAATTGATAATATTTAAATAAAACAAATAAACTAAATCAATTATGGACACCACCAATTAAATATTTTATTTTACAATTAAACAAGATTATATATCGGTTTGAGAATATTAATCGATAAAATCCTCTCTTCTCTCTCCTCCGAGCGACTTCAACGACAAGCGCCGTTTCGTTTTTTGTTCACCGTTTTCGGCCGGCGTCGGCTTCTCCGGCGTCGGCCATCGTTGTTTTCTTCTTCAATTGGTTTCATTTTCTCTAATTTTAGTCGATAATGGTAAATCACGACCATCCCACCCATGTTCCTTGTCTATTTTCGATGATGATGTCTGAAGGATCGCGCCTCTCGCTCTCAAATCAGAGTCTGTTCTCCTTCCCGGATCCATTCCTGATTTGGGTTGTGGATCAATTCCATCAGAGACATTCGCCAGATCTGACAGAGTCATCTCCTCTACAATATCTCTATTCCTTTGTAATGTTGATTCAATGGAATTGTGTTTTCCTTCCACGGAGAAGGTTTGTTTTCGGTGCTTTCCCTTGGCGCCGGTGGTTTTTCCGGTTATCAACCGGTGATTGTCCTCTTACCCAAGGGTATGGAGGTTTCACTTGGGTATTTGATCCCGGCATCAATAGAGTTTTGGCGGAAGATGAGGATATCATCAAACTAGTGGAAACAAAGAAGAACAGTCAAACACAATGGATTAATTCTGGTGATCCTGTGCCGCTATTTGGCCATTCTATACCGGAATTCCCTGCGCATCGCTACCCAAGATCTATGCTCAAAGATCTTCGATTGGCGACAAAGAGGGAATTAACGGCGCACCCGATGATTCCCGAGAAGTATCTGGTCCAACGAAAGGCTTCTTCTTCACAGTGTTTTGTTCACGATTACATGAGGAGACGACCGCATATGATGATTTTACACCAACCATTTATGAACGTCATCCTTGAATACGATGCATCAGAAGACGAATTTGGTTTTCTATTGAAGATAGATGAAGCCTCGACCTCGCCCAGATGGCCACTTGTTTTTTGGGATTGGGTCTTGGTTTATCTCGGTTCACAAGTAGATTCCATGAATGGCATGTCTGATTTTAAGAAGATAAAACATTTACCATGGCAACAAATATGGGTGATAAGACAAAGGCGACTACCCACTGATCAAAGCGAGTCTTTCCCGGAGTCGTCAAATGTATTGATTTCAACGAAGCGACAAGATACAGTATTATCTCCAACAACAAGTTCACATTTCAAAAGTAAAGTAATGCTAAAGGCATTTTGGAGTCTCAGCAGCAAGCTGATAGCCAATAACAAGTATGTGAAAGAGGGACATAACAGATTTCATTTGTTAGCCCGTAAGGCTTTTGATAGCAGGGTTACTCTCCACTCTTTCATCGAAATTGTTTCAATTTCCTATATTTGCGTACAATGGTTGTTTTGTATCTATTATGTACCTTGTAAACTTTTATGATATCAATATATTTGATTTGCCGAAAAAAAAAAAAAATATATCGGTTTGGATTTATAAAGGAGCGGTTAGGGTTTAGATTTTATAATTTTTACGAAATTATATGTCGGTTTGGGTTTATAAAGGAGTGGTTAGGGTTTAGATTTTACAATTAAAACGAAATTAGATATCGGTTTGGGTTGACAAAGGAGTGGTTAGGGTTTAGATTTTACAATTGAAACGAAATTAGATATCGGTTTGGGTTGACAAATGAGTGGTTAGGGTTTAAATTTTACAATTAAAACGAAATTAGATATCGGTTTGGGTTGACAAATGAGTGGTTAGGGTTTAGATTTTATATTTAAAACAAAATTAGATATCGGTTTGGGTTGACAAATGAGTGGTTAGGGTTTAGATTTTACAATTAAAATGAAATTATATACCGGTTTAGGTTTGTTAAATAGTTGTTATATATATACAGACTTTGTTTCCATAATCTATTTTGTTTTTTTTTTTAATTATAATTTTGACTTATTTTGACAAAAAAGACTTCACAATTAGCAAAAAGACCTCATAATTAGCAAAAAATCTTTAAAATTCAAGAAAAATTGTTAAATAAAAATTATAAATGCCCCATAATTAGCAAAAAAATTTTTTTTACCACTTTCTACTTTTTAAAAAACCCCAATTTTTTTTTTCGTATTTAGCCCCGGATTTCACCGGACCGGCACTGGCAAAAGATGCTCAAACTTATTACGTATATGTTAAAATGTTTCAGAAAACCAAATAATGACTATGTTTTCTCAGCGTTTTATTGTTAAGACGGTATTCCACATTGTTAAAATAAGGGAGATCATTATTGGGTTACTAGGAGAAATCCCGATGTTATTTTATTTCTGGTTACTAAATTTATGTGTAAATAGGTAATTGTCGTAGTTTAACTTATATATTTGGATAATATTGATGTTCAAAATTTATCTAGAAGTCATAATTCTGAGAACGCTTGAGCCTATAAGTAATTACACTGAAACTCAATATATTTTTGTCCAGGGTTAGCTAACGTGGTTTAGAGTAAAATGTTTTTCATTTTGCTGATGTTCTAGATACTCTTAGAAGCGTCAATGGTCTCTTTGAATTAGTTAACTTATTTTAATTTCTGTCACTACACCATATCAAGCCCCTTTTTGGTTTTGTAGAATCATATATTACAAAGTGACAAAGTGTTACAAAATATCACACCATGCATGTTTGTATATATGAGTTAGCATGAACGTGAAAAATGGAGACTTTACCTTAACGTTGTTCTATTTTTTTGGGAGCATAACACCAAACTTATATCATTGAATTTAGAAGGCTATTAAACAAATAGACGGAGACCATGGTATTAAATATGAAATGAAATGTCTTCATTTTTACTATACTGGAGAAATAAAAGTTAATTTTTGGTGGACAGATATAGAATGTTAAAAATGCTTAATGCCATGAGGATCATTCATTAAATTGTTTCTTTGTCTTGCAAAAATGATGTGTACATGGTAGGACCAAAAAGCTTTTCTTTTCAATCGTCCTCAACAGATTTGAGATCTCTTTTCCTCTTGCCGTTAATTTTTGAAAGATCTTCTCCTTTGTGCTTAAACGTGTGGTTGTGGAGGAGTAGACTGATACACTGCCAAGGCTGGTTAGAGAATACAAATTAGTAATACATCTTCATTTTTATGGTCTTTGACTTTGTTAGAATTACAACACCAATTCCCCAAAACATGTGAATCAAAACACTCCAAATGAGTATAAACAAATGTAGCTTAGTGTTGGAATTTTTTTCAGAGCTATTAATCTAAACCCAAATCAAAGAAGATGAAACAAATAGCTAGGGTTTAAAAGCCGAAAACCTCAGGGTAAAAAGACGGACCAAATTTTACTAAGAGGATGATTAGAAAAGAGTGAACATTGTGTTCAGATCAGAATTCACTACGAAAGACCGTCGATTGAACCTTGTTGATAATCAGAACCTCATTTAGTTAAACAAAAATCTACTCACACCAAAGGTACATAAAAGAAAGAGTGTGCCGTACAACCATCATCTCACGGAACCAACCAGCCACCAGCTCGATCAACGACTTTCTTGATGTTTTTCTTGGGTAACGTCACCGCTCCTCCTCGTCATCGCTGATATATCTTTAAATCTACCACAAACGAAACAAATAAGATAAAGTCGAAGGGTTAGAATGTAGATTTGTGTTAACAGTTATAGTGAGAAGCGAAAGATGTTTTACAAGGAAAGGGATGAGACAAAGAGATTCACCTAGGAGGTACAGCTTTCCCCATATTGTTGAAAAGTGTTCAACGAAGAACTTCTACATGAAACACCAACTGAACCTAATTTTGAGTTCTCCATAAACCCACTCCAATGATTCGATCCTTAAATTATCGATCAGAGAATTTGAACTCATCCGGATTTGAGAGAGATGCGTAAGGTCGACGATTCATATTTCTGTTTTGGATGAGACTTTTGCGGAGAGAAAGAACGTTCGAAAGTGGGAATTTAGGAGCAAGAAGGTTGGCTCAAAGATTTGGCGGTGATGGTTACATTACGGAGAGGAAGATTTTATAGGGTTTCGGAAGAGAAGGTTCCATTTGTTTAAAATTGTAGCTTCCATTTGTTTCATACCCAAAAGATTAGAGGGACACATCATTGTTGCTTTTTGTCCCAACTGACTTTGGGAAAATTTGCCCCTCTTTGTCTTGAAATTGGAAAGATAAACTCACCGCTTAACTTTGTTCAATATCTCAGACGATTCTTAATGTTCTCGACTTGACAAAATCTCTTAAGTACCTGAATGTTTAGAGTATAATATCCAAAAAATTTGGAGTCTAATTAGTATCTAGAGTTGGATTAAGCCGAGAAATCGTTCAATCTGTATAATTAGAGATTTGTCTTAAATTTCTAACAAATATCCGGAAGAGGAGAACGGTTTGCCAGTAGTTGTGGTGTTTCGTTTGGTTCTGGATAAATCCAGATCTACGAGGCACTTAGATTTCTACGGTTTCGATCGGTAGGCTTAGGCTATTATTGACGGATTTCATTCAATCTGTAATTTCTCTATTTTTTACAGATCCAAAATCATGGGTGAGGATATTCCTTTCTTTGATTTCAATAGAGTCGGAGTTTTCTTTCACTTTGTTGCAATAAACGTTGAACGTAACACGCTCATACAAAAGCGCGTGCAGAGGTTTAGGATTGATACTTCCGTCGCTCGAAATGAAATCGATGCTAACGTCTATAGTAGGGTCTTCGATATTCTCAACGGCAAAATTTGGATGGTGTATAACAAAAATCTCAGTGATTTGAAGAATCTTTTCAATGCTAATTTCCATGCATGTCCTATTGCTAAATATGAGATAGATACAACAAAGTGGTTTGCTGAAAATTTTGATGGAAGAATTGATAACATGTCGCTCGAAGGTGTTAGCGATTACTTTAAATTGGATGTTGAGAAATATGAAAAGCAATCGAGTGATAAAGTTGAACGAGATTGCCATCTCCATATTCAAGTTATCATGGCAGCAATGGGCATCACACAACTGGAGGCACTTCTTAAGAAAAAGGAAGACGAAGCAAAGAGGCCAAGGATATAACATAAACGAAAACCAAAAAAAAGAAAAGAAAAAGAGAAATTGAGGTAAGAAATTTCAAGTGTGAGAATCTGATATTCAAAAAGAGAGTTGAGGAATTCACTGTGTTGTTTCGTTTTTATTTGCAGGTGGTGGATCTTTAGATTCTAAGAACTGAACTCGAAGATGTTGAATCTGCTTTGTTTAATCTATTGTCAAATTGGTGGTTGTTGCAGTTAATTTTACATTGCACTAGATGGTTTCTACTTTTTAACAAAAACATATGTATTGAGAATTAAATTGGAATTCGTCATGAGTTATCTATTGAACTGAATTGTCATTAACTTTTAACTACACCAGGGTTGTTTTAGGGTCATCTGATGCCTGATTGGATCTTTTTGAGGTTCAATTACAGATGTTTCCTCATGGTGATTGGCATTGCCCCAATTGTACATGCAAATTCTGTAGGGCAGTTGTCGAAGATGTTAGTCAAACTGTGGGTGCAAATACCTGCAAAATGTGTGAGAAAAAATGTACTGTCATTTATTCTTTCCCTGGCTTGAATATTCCACTTCTGTTTTTACTCAGTTTTGTTTTTAGTTTCTAGACTCTAGTTGATGTTGGAATTCTCCCTTTCTAGATCACAAATCATGCATGTCATATTACCCCAGCTGACACCACTGAACCAATCATCTCTTTTTGTGGGAAGAAGTGCAAAGCTGTACTTTTCTTTCAAGTCTCTCAACCCTTGCAAATTTCATTCAGTTAAAAAGCGTGGTGTAGCTTCTAGGCGGCAGATGTTGAACGTCCATTAATTGTCAATTAGATTATTGGGTGTTGCCTGCTTCAATTAGGCTAGTGTACCTTTTTTACTCAACCTAGACATGTTGTGGCCGAAATCCTGGTATAACTGAATTCTAAAAGACACGAGTCTAATATCCTGTGTTGTTCCCATGTATTTTCTGTCCTTTACCAAAGCATTATGTTTAAGTGAAATTTCTTGTTCATTTAACAGCTCTTTGAAGGTGTCAAGAAGTACGTCGGTGTCAAACATGAGTTGGAAGCTAGATTTTCGTGGTCTCTAGTTCATAGGGAATGTACAGATTCAGATTTCATTCTTAGGTGGACACCCTCATATTGTGGAAAGCAATTCCAAGCTGGCCATAGCTCTCTGACAGTCATGGATGAATGCTTTCTCCCCATTATTGACAGGAGGAGTGGGGGTAAATATTGTACGAAATGTCCTTTACAATTGTGGGTAAACTTTTCAGCACTTCAAGTTTTTTATACTACAATATTTTTATTTGGTATTGCTTTTGTGTTGGTTCTTTTGCTTAAACTTTGCTTTTCTTTGGTCGAACTTCAATCGGCTAAATTTTGGTGGATTCTATACTGCTCTTCTTGAGAGAGGCGATGAAATAGTCGCTTCAGCATCTATTAGGTTATTCATCTCCTGATAATCTTTTGTTTTGGTTTCAATCCTATATGTGAGATAACTACAAAAAGGATGGCAGAGATAATGCTAGTGTCAATAAATATGTACTCGTGCATGTTTTATCTTATGCACTTTTAGAATTTAGATTATTGGTTTTGATGCATGTTTTTTCCTGTTAAAGCGATCTACATGTTATTAATGATATTTTACCTTTCTCTTTAGATTTCATGGTAACCGCTTAGCTGAGATGCAGTTCATTGGAACTCGGCATGTCTACAGACACCAAGGGATGTGCCGCCGGCTTTTCAGCGTTGTTGAATCAGTAAGTTATTTTTTTTTTTCCTTCTATACTTCGAGGTAGCGAGGTAAACAGATTCTTGCTGTAAAACTCTGCTAATTTGTTCTCTATGTCTTTTGATGTGAAGACTCTTCAAAATCTCAAAGTTGAATTACTTGTTATCCCTGCAACTGCTGACTTAAGCCATGTTTGGATATCCAAATTCGGGTTTAAATATGTCGAGGATTCTCTGAAGAAAGAATTGCGGTCCATGAATCTACTAGCCTTTCCTGGTATTGATGTGTTACAGAAAGAACTGCTAGCACCAAGACATGCCAAGTCTGCTGCTGACACAGGTATACTATTAATCAATTTAGCCTCTTCTTCTTTTTCTTGCCTATTGATTTTCTTACTTGGGCTCCATTATTTGTCAAGAAGACTGTGACCCATGCAATGAAGACACTGATTCTGCGATCAAAACTAATGAAGTTTCCGTCTTTAAAACTTTCTCTGTATCAATTCAATTTTTTGAGAAGTTGAAAATTTCTTCAAGTTTGATTAGTTTTGATCCGTTTATGACATTTTCAAAGGTTTAAGTGTTCATTTTATATGTTGTCTTGAAATTTGATTAAGTGTTTGTGATTTAGCAACTTGCTTCACATGGATTGTTCCATGTACATGTAAGAGCTACTGGTGGCCTTCACATTGATGATCATCATACTAATGAAGATGTTGCTCTTGCTATTGGTACAGTAAGTAGTCAAGTGTATTTTCTTGCTCTATTGAGTAAATTGATTGAGTAGCACTTTTGGGAAGTTGTAGATGTAATTACTGTTTTGTTTCTATTAGGCTTTGTTAAAGGCACTTGGTGATCGGAAAGGGATTAACCGTTTTGGCAATTTTACAGCTCCTCTTGATGAAGCACTCATACGTGTGTCCCTGGTACGATACAAATTGTTAACTTTCTGTTGCATATATCTAGTTTGTTTTTCAAGGTAATTTGGAGTTTCCGGAAGTGTTTATGGTTGATGATGGATGAAAATCTGGCAAGATCTATCTGGTAGACCATATCTTGGCTACAAACTTAGAGATTCCAACCCAGAGAGTAGGAACATACGACACACAGGTCCCTCCAGTTTGAGGTTTTTCTAATTTTTTCATTTTCTTGGTTTGTCAAATCACTAAATGAATCTTCTCCCATTTAGTTGGTGGAGCATTTCTTCCAGTCTTTGGTGAATACTTCTGGTATGACACTTCACACCCGACAGGTATCACGATTCCAATCTTTCATAAAGCAATCAAGAATAATAACAGTAAATTAATGTTATTTTCTATATTCAATCGGAAAACATTTTCTTGACAATTATCTCTTAATTCGATTGGTTATGACAGCTTGCCGGTAAAAACTCTCATCACATAATAGAAGCGACCTTTAAGGCCTTTGCAAGGGCTCTCCGACAAGCAACAGAGTCTGATCCACGTCGCGGTGGAACAATACCAAGGTTTGAGTTTGGACTCATACATGCAAAACTAGTCTTATTGAAATCTCACCTCAGATAAAAGACTCACACACACACACTACACATATCATTCTTCATCCATTACTTATTGCAATATTCGTCATAACAAAAATA